GAAGATCATCAGATTAGAGTTCTGATAGACAGCTGTGCGTTCAACAGGAAGACTTAAATATATACATATTAACATGGTTACTGTTACATATTCAGAAGCTGTTCAGTAAAGATGGAGAGCTTACCCTAGTACATAAATAGCGTGGAATTGGACTCTAAACCATCAGTAACTTTACTCAATTCTCCTGTTATGCTATTTTACCAAGCCTATCACTGTTAAGTAGGAAACCATCAAATCAATTTTAAAATCACTTTGTTTTAAAGGGTCCGTTTGAGCTGGCTAATTTCCTGAAAAATGAGGTTAGGGAGAATGAGTTTAACTCCAGAATTGGTGCGTACCACTGCAACTACTGAGCGGAACTGCTGCTCTCACCATGTTCTGTGACAAGTACCTCCTCTAGTGCGTCACACTGTAATAACTTTCTGATCTGGAATTAAAAATTACCTACTTACAAATTCAGACCTTGTTTACTTCAATCAGTATAACACTAAAGTTACTCTAATTATTATAACGCTATTCCATATAAGACTTTCTGTAACAGAAAAGCATGATTTTCCTCTGTAGTTGCAAATTTAATAAAAAAGTTGTGTTTCTCACCAATCCACCTGCCCTGAAAGAGACAGCAGGACCCTGATACAGCATGATAGCAGGGAGATGTAAGTACATACGTATTTGCCAGTTTATTAAAAAGCTACTGTGTCGTCATGCTCTAGACTATACTTTTTTTTCTTTTTAAACATCCCTCAGCCCTTGAGGTTATGACAGTAACTGAAAATATATTAATTTAATCAATGAGGCGGTGCCAATCTAAACATACGCTCACCTGGAACGATATCCTTAAAAGATGTAGCGTGCTCCCAGGGGATGTTAACTCAAACCTAATTCAATTGATTTAAATGGCACTTTCATTGGATAAAGTATAGATACAGTCGACTGCTAGTTGCTGAGGTGAGCTCTTCAAGTTCAGCCACTTGCACACTTATTTGCAACCCTACCCAAGAGTCTTGGCTCTTGCAAAACTAACTCAGCCAGTTTAAAAAGAATAGCCGTGTCTCAAGAAGAGTTTTACTAGGTAGTGTTTAAACTGGGATAGCTACCCCACAGATAGGTGACATACCGTGGCATCACACTGCCTGTCACCAGACCACAGAGCACTGAAAGTCCCCCAGACTTGCAGTTCTCTGTATGAAGCGCTCAGAGGGTCACTGCTTACATCTCCTAATCCTTTCAGACACGTGTGACCACAAAGATACTTTCTGCAGCAAAGCAGACGGTGAACAGCTGAAATATTAAGCATCTCTTCTTCCATGGGGTTTTTGTACTCTTCCCAAAAAAACAGCTTATTTTCAAGCAGTCCACTAATGAGAGCCAGGATTATCCTAAGGTACCAGTTTTTGTCACTTGCACATTTGAAGTCAAATCTGTTAAAGAACCAGAATCTCTCTAGTCCCCGATGGGGGAAAAAATGATAATTAGAAGACAATTAGCAGATTTTGTAGGAAATCTGGCAAAAGTTAGAATATGTGTGTTTTAAGTTTAGCTTTATTAAAGAAAAGAAGGGAATTGCCTTTATAGATCAATGTAGATTAAAAGGGAGACTGTCAAAACCGAGAGTTAAGAATTGACTTTGCTTGACGTTTATCACATATTGAAGGCTTTGCATGATCTGTAATCGTAAAAGTATGTGGATTTCCAAACCAGTCTATGCCAGTCTCAGAGAATTGCCAACCCCCGACCAAATGTGATTAGATTTTAGATTTAGAGTAAACACAGATGTGTTATGTTGTAGAGAGAAAGGCAAAAGCATATGTGTATTGACTTTTACTATGGGCATCAGTATGCTGGTGTCATTTTTTTCACCCTTCTCCCCTTATCCTAGTAGAGAATTGTAATTTTTCCTTTAGCTAACAGAAAATGGAGAGTCTTACTAGGATTGCACTTAATTTCAGGATTCATAACAAACATACAAGAAACTTAGGAGAGATACTAAAGGTGGTTCACTGCTTCTATCATAAGGAGATAAAATAGGATGGATTGTTTTTTGAAAGAGAAAGAATAATCTAAAACACTGTATACATTTACTCTAGCATGACATTTTCTCTGAGAAGTAGTGCTCCTAAAAAGCAGTCTCAGAATCCAGTTAGCTCATTAAAAAGTTCAGGTTAACAGAAGAAAACTCGGAATAACTGTCTAGATATTGCAGATTTGAAGAGGTGTCAGACTGTTTTTCATATTTTTGTCAAGTGTAATGCTTGTGTTAGGTAATATTTCAGTTCTTGCTTTAGCGAGGCATTAGTAGTTATATAAATGTATTAATTTTGGATTAAAAGGGCTAATAGAAATATTAATTTGGTAGCCCGCGAGGGTTTTGAACACGTTTTTTTAATCATTCCAAGAAGCCAGACTGGAGACATTGGCTATTTATTTAGACCTGCAGAAAGCCATAAAAGTTGTGACACTCGGTGTTGTGAAATACACCTGGCCCTCACAGCAGAATTCATATCCATCAACAGTATGTCTTGTCTCACTGCAAAGCACACCTACAGCTTCAAGAGCCACAATTAGGCAATCTATTAGCCTTTCATGATCAAAAAGGAAAGAGTCCCAGTCCCCTCCAGTCTTCTTCCCTCTTACCCACCTCCACAAGTCTCGGCTGCATGCTCCTGCTGCCTGGATCACACCAGCTTTGGTACTCACCACACATGCTCAGCCATTGACAGAGGTCATCAGTCAGAAGACTAACTTACCAAACCTTCCTCCTCTCCCAGGAAGCTGCATTGTCTCCTGCTGCATTGGTGAACTGGACTGATTCACAGGGAGGTCTAACAGGTGTTGGAGGTAGCACAAGGAAGAAACAGGACCACGTGGCAAGGAAAATCACTTTTCCACTACAAGCGAGCTATGTCGTGAACTTAGATACTCTTTAACTGCAGGTTTCATTAGTTTACCGTAACGAACTGGAGCAGTTCCAAGATCTGATTCATTAGTAGATCCAGTGTCCCTGCCTGTGGGAAGACCTGGAGAGTAACAGCTTGGGCTGTCATACTGCTTGTCTGTCAGTCTCCAAGTACCTTAGAACTGATTCTACAAACTCCAGCAAGCTCTGTGAGATGCCACCAAAACAAGCTAACAGGAAATACTAAGGACTAGTCCTAATTCTGCTTCTCCCTGAAGATTTAGGCAACTCTTTCCACTTGGGATTCAGAACCATGAACATCTGCCTTTCTGAAAGCAGATATTAAATCCTTTCTTTCAAAAGTAGAACAGAGGCCACATTTACGGCACTGATACTTGCTTTTTATACCGTGTCCTTACAAGTGCTTGCTGTGTCCTCCACCTGAAGTTAGTCCTGTTCCTGCCACTGCCTGAGGGGATTCAAACCCTCTTTTTCCCCACGCACACCCTAACCACCAGGCTGGAAGCCAGTCTGGTGTGGTGGGAGGGGAGCGTGGAAGTGTTTTCTCCTCTATGGCCAAAGATGGAGGTTCCGTCTGTTCATTCAAAGAGAATGACTCCGTAGTCTGGTATTGAACACAGTCGTCAGAATGGTCTGCTTATGTATTTTAGGTATTTATTTCTGTTACGTGTTTTGTCTAATGATAATTTTAATGCAAAATACACAGTTGTGCAAACAGGGATCAGAAATCTTTTCCTTCCAAAACTCTAGCCAAAAAGCTATATAGTCATGCCATCTAATAACATGCATTTATGTTGTAATAAAAATCCATCACTGTTAATTCCAGAAACAAATTCGAAATGGATAGAAGGAAACTATTTTGTGAGTAATATGTAATTAAACTGTAGAGGCCATCATTCTGGGAGGGGTGAATATCTGTAGTTACACGGTTTGTAATCATCCTGCCCCAGGATGTAAGTGCTGGCTGACTTAGGAAAAAAAGTTGTCCTTGCTGATTATAAAACCCTGCTGTAGATAAGGAGCATTTTGGGGAATTAAAAGAATAATCCTCCTGTAAAGCATTGCAGGCCATTGTTGGGATTTACCACATGAAGAGAGACTTCTAGTATCATATCTGTCCTTTTATAATTTATTAAACAGAGAAAAATTATTTGTTGTATATCGTATGTCCTTAATTTTCATTAAACAGCCAAAATATCGCACTTTGTGTGCTTCCATGCACAACCGGCCTAATATGTGAATCACATCAAATCTGACATAATTTAAAAAGATACCTCATTTTGCAAACATCCACAGGCCTAGAGGTGACACCTTCTACACAGTTTTAAGCAAGTTAGTTTTTTTACTTTTCTGCCCTTACAGTTTTGGCATGCTTGTAGCACTACTTAGCCCTGCATTCATAAGAAGATGGGCGGAAAAGGCTGAGACTCCTATGACAGTTTCTGCATAAATTAGACAAAGTTTACAGGTATGGATAATGTCACTTAAGTGGTACAGCTGGAAAAATCAAATAAGCTTTCAAGCATCTAAGTCTTTTTTCAAATCTGAAAATGAAACAGCAACTTCCCAAGCTAAATACAGAACAACTGCTTAGAGTTTGGTTAGGTATGTATCAAGTACACCATCTTTGAAGAAAAGGTTAGTGGCATCCCAGGAGTACAGGAGATGTTAATCAGGGAAGGGAGGGAGTATTATGAACATAGTCATCATCTAGGAGAAAGAAGGGGGGAGTTAAAACCCTATAGGAAACTGCGTGAAAGTTATGTACCATAAAAACAGTCTTTCTATTGAATCAGTGGTGTATTGGTATGCAGTCCATCCAGAAGCTTGTCTTAATTTTCCAGATAAACAGTGCATTTAATAAAAGATGACCCCTCTGCCTAGAAACTTTGTTACATTTATGCCCTGAAACCATCAGGACTACAGCAAAATACTGCTGAAATGGAACATGCAGAAATTAGGGCGGTAATTAACGTGAGTTATATGACTGCTTATGACCAAAAGAGCTTTTTGTTAATAAAACCAGTATTTTCTATTTTATAGGATATTGATTTCTAACTAGGGAGATGGAGAGTTGCCCAGAGAGCTGTGGAATCTCTGTCCTTGGAGGTGTTCAAGACCTGCTGGGACAAAGCCCTGAGCAGCCTGGTCCAAGGTCAGTTTTGACCCCTCTTTGAGCAGGAGGTGGGCTAGTGACCTCCCGAGACCCCTTTCAGCCTCAATGATTCAGTGTTACTGTGTCTCGTTTCAGACATCTGATTTAGGTGATTAAGACCTCCTTAGATGAGCAGTCGTACACTCCTTCCACAGGCAGGTCAGGATACCTCAGTTGGGCACTTTTCCCCATAGTGTATTAATGAAGCCCAAAACTCAATGACTACATTTAGACAGTATTAATTCTCCCTACACTGTAGCAATGGTTATATGTTAGTAGAACTGCTTTTCCCTGGGAGGAACAGCACAATGTTCTCACAGCAAAATTAACTCTTAAAATCAACAAACTGGAATAGGCAAAGGCCATTTTTTCTTGACATATGCACAGTGTGTTCAGGCTCCTCAAACCAAAGTAGTTAGCTGGAAAGTCCTTATTCCTTAAGTTGATTATCTTTGTTTACATAGTCTAGAACTAGCCATGCTAGTCTGAGTCTCACATTAATGACCTTAAATTTTCTCAAGTCAGAAATGCCATTTTCTCCTTAATTTTTGTTAAACCTATTTGTTGCAGCCAGAACTGCCCTTTTTATCCTCCTCCTTTCCATCTGTCCAAAAAGTATTTTTTTATTTGCTAAATAATTCATTGTGGGAAACGTCTTAAAATATCCTGATAAACGCATCACAAATTATTAAATACTATGTTTCCCTCTCACCTACGATCGTGGATATGATACCAAAACCTCACTAATTCTAACGTAGTGGAAAAGTCAAGTCTTTTAATAGTTCTGTTCTGTTTCAAGTCCAGCAAAAAAGGCAGTCGGGATACAAGTTTATATGCAAAACACTGAACTATCTGGCGCTTTTCAGATGTGCTGCAGTTCCCCAACTTCAATAAATAGTATCAGGGTGAAGTGTATGGCCACGGAACTTATATAGTTGAGTAAACAACCACCTACTTGTAGAAATGTTTCTGCAGAAATATTCAGAAAACTCGCCTTGAAATTAGCATCACTATACAACTCTCTCTTGAGCAGCCACAAAATAGTCTACAATAGATACTTGTATTACCTTATTTTCATCTAAATTGTATGCTTATTTTGGTTCAGTCATTAGGTTTCTTTCATTATCCAGTTAAACATAGGTATCCATAGGATAATGCACCTACAATTTT